AGAGGGTCCGGGGTGTGGGAGGGTGGTGGCAGGACCGCGGCAGACTGCAGTGCGGTTCCCCCCTCCCCCGACCTGCTCGGCTCTGCTGCGGTACTGTCCAGCCTGGAGCTACCTGTCCTCTGAGCCCCTCTCAGCCCTGGGGGCCAGGGGCGTGGGGGACCTGGGCAGGGTGGGGGGGTCCCTGGTCCTGTCCTGCCACTACCCCCCCGGGTGCCCCCTACAGACCTTGCCCCTCTGTGCAGATACCAGCCCAATCCCCATGACAGGGATATCCAGGTCCCCCACCCTGTGTCTCCCCCAGCCCCAGTTCATGTCCTCCCGTGCCCCTGTATCCCCTCCCTCGCTGACGGTGACCTTTCCTGCCACCCCTTGCACATGCAGCCCTTGCAGTTTGCATGGATCTTTCCTTGCCCCCCCACCCACAGCCTGATGCCCCAGTGCTGGCCTGGCAGCAGCCCCAAGCTTCTCCCACTGCCCCTCAACCCATTCCCTCTTACACGCTCGGGCTGACCTTGCAGCCCCTGACCTTGCACCAGCCCTGTGCACGCTCACCTTGCACCATTCGAGTGCGATCCATGCAGGGGAGGGGGGAGTTCTCTGCCCTGCTTGGTCTGAGCACCCACCTTCTCCTGCCAGACCCCCTCTCCCTCTCCTACCTGATCCCCCCCCAACCTCTGCCCGGTGCTCCCTCCTGCTCTGCCTAGGGCCCCCTTGTTTCTACCCTGTGTGAGGGTCTTGCTGCCCCCACCTTCTTCCTAGCCCCACTTCTTTTTTTTCCTCCTCAGGTTCCCCCCATTTCTAGTCTCCCCATTTGAGGCTCAGTCCCACTCTGCCTGCTGCTCTATATACCTTCGCCCCTCCACCCTTGGACTCTAGCAGGACCCGGTGGCTGGTGCTGGTCCCCTCAGCACCCCAATCTCCCCCTCCCCTCGCCCCCGCTGCCTGGTGCTGCAACCCCAGTGCCTCCTGATCTCCCCTAGTGTCCAGTGCTGGTTACTCATCCCCGCCATTCCCCTAGTCAGCGCCTGGCGCTGCACCCCCAGTGCCTCCCGATCTCCCCCCCACCCCTGGTGTCTGGTGCTGCACCCCCAATCCTCCTTCCTTCCTGTCCTCTCCAGTGTCTGCTGCTGCATCCCCAGTGCCCCCAATCTCCTCCCCAGTGCACAGCACTGCCCTCCAGGTGCTCCCTGATGCTGACCCCTCCCCTCATGCCCTGCACTGATCACTGAACCCAAAATCTCTCTCCATCGGTCCCCAGGGCTGCACCTCCAATGTCCCCTGATCCCCCCCTCTCCCTGGTACCCAGTACTGCTCACTCAGCCCCCGATCTTTCCTCCCTGGTGTCCGGTGCTGCACCCCTGATTTCCCCCCCACTTCTGATCTCCTCTTCCCCCTTCTATCCCCAATGCCTGGCACTGCCCCCCCCAATCATTCCCCCCGGAACTCCCCTCCCTATCTCCTCTCCCTCCTACTTTCCCTCCTGCCAGCGATA